ATTTAGGTGCCATTATATCGCTTCCTCAATCACAGACATTATTGTTTGAAATAACAAGCGTTGTAGCATTTCGTGAATTGACTACTTTCTGAACAAGCCAAAACAGTGTGCAAAAATGATTATATCATTGGCAAAGATGAAGTAATTGACCCTAATGTGTTAAGGAAACTCATTAGATTTGAATGGTCCCTTACCAAGCTCTAAATTCATTAAAAAAAACACAGTTTGACCAACCCAGGTTACAAAAGGTTAAAACTGCATACGTGTGACTCCAGCCTTACACATTTAAAACGAATGAACTTTTTCCACCATGCCCAAATGCTCCATGTTCAAATCAGAATGTTTTCTGCTTTCCTACACACAACTGAACAATTGAGGATGGTCCATGATACTTTTTTTTTTTCTGCACTAACAGTTAAATTTTTAGGATGAGATTCCGAGATGTTCCCTACATACAACTGGAATATAGAAACTATTGGATTGAAACATGAGAGGCCCCTTAGAATGGTATATTTCCTCGCAGCTAACCACATTGCACTGGAAAATGGCCCCAGAAGTTTGGCTTTGACTGTTGGTGCTGGGGCTTTAGAGACATTACTTATAACCAACTGATTGTTTGCAATGGGCAATATAGACTAGAGCTGCCCACACTAATATTCTGACTTCCCAGTCTGCTAAACTGACGTTAATACAGGGGAAAAAAAACACTTTTACACTATTGTGTTGCCGTAACGCATGTGCGCTAATGCAATAGTGTTAATGGGCCCTAAGAAAGCATATTTCTGTTCCATATAACTTCAGTCATGGAGTCTAGAAAGGTGGTGGTTGCACTGGGGACATAGGAGGTGGGTCAAGGCTCTGTTGCTGGGGAATGTTTAACGAAGAAATAGGACAATGAAGCAGAGATCACTATTGGACTTAAGCAGTATAGATGAGACTGATATTTGAGAGGGGGTGTACTGAACAGATGTGAGGAGTTATCCCATGTGTATAAAGAAAGCCAAGCAGCAAGCACACCCGAAGCCATGTCACTGCTGTTTTCACTTTATTAGGTAATCAACACAAGATAAAACATGGTAACAGCTTGCGCGTTTCAGGCAAACCTGGCCTTAAACATAGCTTCAGAAGTGCTGGCTTTTTGGTTCTCTTTATATACACTCTGGGAGGAGTGCATCTCTGCACTACCCTTGTCACTAGATCTGATATTGCAATGGTTGGAGAGCTTTGGACTACAGTTCACATAAACTTTCACAATTAAATACAATTTACTTTGTGCTGCAATTACTGCCATGTGTTGTAGACTGTTTGCTGGGAGGTTACCACACATGCACTGAGGACCGAATGCTCAGGGGTTACCACATGCTAAGGACTGTGCCAAGGGATATCACCTATGCACAGAGAAATGGGCACTGTGGGGTTAACACACATGACCCGGGGACTGGTTGTAAAGGGGTTAATGCTCATAGGACAGATCACTGAGAGTTCATACACATGAACTGGGAATAGGTGACCAAGGGGTTAAAGCTTATTCTGTGTGGGCTAATCACTGAGATGTATAATATACACGGTTGACTAGTCAATCATTAGGTACTGCCCACACTCACTGTGGCATGTGATGTGGTGAGGGCAGAATACATGGTAGAGACCAATATGTGTCACAATACACAATCCTGCAATAGGCGACTTCCAGACTCTCTTCCTCTTCCAAAACAGGTTGTGAAACTTTGCATTGGCATGTGGGGCGGGTGCTACTGAACTGTGCTTCAAACCATTCTGGGCTCAGTAAGCAATGCCAGTGGGGTGGACAAAGTTCAGTATGCATTTTGTGTGGTGGGAGTGTGGGAACGGCACAGTGAGGAGTCAGGCAAGTCTCAAGCATGAATGTTTATGTGCATAGGCAGACGGCAGCAATTGCCCAGGTAAGACTTTCCCAATTTACCCACCCCCAAAGATTGGTCAGGGGTAATATGACACATATGACCGTGGCCATAGGCAATGTGATTATTGCAAACCATCCAAGGCCTATGGGCAGCGAAGGAATCATTAACAAAAAAGGGGCAAGTGAAATGATCATTGCTTGGAAAAGAAAATGGGCCAGGTAGTCAATAACAGGTAAGTTGACATATCACGCACTTCTGCTACAGTTAAATACCAGAAATACGGTTTACGAGCCCCCCCCCCCAAAAAAAAGGATGGCAACCTAAAATGTATCTATATCTCCACCAACAAACATGGACACGTTAATAAGGAACACACACAAATTTCATAATTCTTTAATCATTATTAATATATCCATTACTATAAGTCACATTTCGGATGGCTGTCCTCGCCTTCATAACAAGGCTAGATGGCCAACTATAACAGTGCTACATTCTTCCACCACTCGTGAAAGCCAAAAGTGATCGACAAATTAGGAAAAACAGGAAATCAAAAGCAGACAAAAGAAGACATTAATACCATAAGTGAAGTGAAAAGCGTTCCCGCATATCAATATAAAAAGCAGCTTTAAAAGACACATATGTGGAAAAATTACATTATACCGTATCTGATTTTCCTAATTTTTGATCCAAATTATTTCGGTACCATATGACACAGGATGAATAAATAAACTGTTCAATAATATTATAATGGAATTAAGCAAAGACGTTTGCTGCCATATAAAAAGCCATTATGCCATTGACTTTTATATATGTGTGTGTGTGTGTGTATGTATGTATATATATATATATATAAATAAATATATAAAATCACAATATTAACACTTTAAATGACTGCAAGGTTTTAATAACTCAAAGCCAGTGTGCATTATTCCAGAATTACCAGACATTGATTAAACACTATAGTGCTGTTTTACATTACGGAGGCTATGTGAGAATTTTCTAGGCCCTCCAATCACAGGATCCGAGTTTCAAATCGTGGCAAAGAGACTAGAAGTTCTAGCTATACATAAATACAATTCCATGAATCAGTTTTTTTGCTGGCAGGAAAGCTGAGGTCCCATAGAAACGGAAGTGTCGTCTGATCTTTAAAATTCAAGATTACATGATCTGTGTCAGAAAAGGACATAACTGAAGAGACAAGGGTAGAAGAAGCCTATGTGCACAAGCCATACATTGTTTAATTTGGATATTTTTGTCAGATAAAAGATTGTCAGTTACACGGCTCTGGGTGGGCTCCTTAAAAAGCACACATCACCAGCAGGTCACACTGTGGGTATAACCATCACATATAAATTAAGACATTTAAAAATGGAATTAAAAATGACAAACATTTAGGACTCAAAAACACAATTTGGCAAGTTTTAAAATTAAACAATTAAAAAATAAGGTTACGGAATTACTGTTAAGGCCATACTTGGAAACATTTCAGTGATTTAGAGTCATTATTATAGCTTAGTGCTATAATGATACATACACACAATGTAGGTACATGCATATGGCTGAAACAGACACCCGCACATACAGGAAAAACAAAACTGAATAGGCCAGAGCTAAACAAGTCTCCAGCATCAGGTAGTCCACGTACTTGGTGCCAGAAATTTTCCCCTGGATTCTAACATACATGTAAGTATAAGATTTTATAGAAAACGGACACTTTCTGTTCATAAAAAGGTACCACCAGGCGCCTGGAAGTCATCTCAGAGTTCAAGTAGGGCACTCTATGAGCCCAAACTATTGGCCATTTTAATATGCAGT